ACAAAAATGTGATAATTGTATAATCATAGTTTCATAATTCTTTATCCAGTTTACGGTAAGCATAATCTCTTTGAACTGAGTTGTGGATTTACTGTATCAAACAATTATTATTCTTGTTTTTTAAGATCTATTCTAAAAAGTTTTTTTGCAACTCTGCAAGTACTGCTAGATATACTCCAGCGCCATCGTGACGAAATTGTCTCTCAGGTCTGGTTCGAATTTGTTTGATTCTTGTTGGACATATTTTATCATTTCATTACGCATCCCTATTTTCACTCACGGACTTTATATTCTTCGCCTCAAAATGCTTTTAATATATACCGCTTGCAACTCGATATAAACTGCTCAACAAAACGTGTTAACATCAATATTACTGGAGTTTTTTCAAATACCAAATCGTTATTTTTAACACCTTGACACGTGTTTCGATCACCAAGTGATCATCTTCAAAGCTATATAGTATGCTCTTTGGTATAGGTCCGTCATCGTTATTCATAATATTATTGTGTTTTACCAAATTGGATAACATTATAGAAAATACACACACTTCATTCATCCTTTTTTTTGTGTCAAGATGGAGTAGTAGAAAGCCAAAATCTTTCTTTCCCAAAAAGTAGTTGATATGTTTCACTCTCTGCCGCAATCAGGAGTGAGATGAAAATGTATGTAATTATTTTATTGCATGAGCATGAAACTTTCATAAACTCTAAACTGAAATTGAATCAAGTACATTGTTAGTTTCAGGACAGCGAATTTTAATGATGATACACATAACTTTCCAGGCGTAGTTATTTGCATAACTGTTATGGAAGAAAAGAGAATTGAAATTTTCTATGTTTTTTACCACTTTTATTTGTAACTAACGTAAAAAATAAAAAATTATTCGGACGGTCCTAAGTAACAGTTATCACAATACTCTCCTCAGCAATCAATGGTATTGTTCAGATAAAAAAAGTGATACAATTTTTTTATCTGATCAATACCGTAGATTGCAGAGGATAGTGTGGTGAAGACTGCTACCTAGGACCTTCCGAATTAATTTTTAGTTTTCAGTACATTATGTACAACATTATTATCTTTTTTTGTCAATATAACCGTTCAATATGATAGATCAATAATCGAATACAATTCCACAATTTGGTGCCCTTCATATCATGTGGATATTGATATGCTTGAAAGTGTTCAAAATTGAATAGGGAGGGTGAGTGTAGGCCCACAGTACTTATGCCACTTGTGACCCATTGAACAGCCTCCCAAGGAATTGTCCTCCTAGGTCATCGTCCATCCTGTCCTTTTCAGGAAGGTGGACAGGTCTCTAGCAGACATCTCCTTTATATCGGCAGGTGTAGGCCAAGACTCGCCGTACACACATTCTCGTATTGACGATAACTCTGGACATTCGCCTAGGACATGCCTGGCAGTTTCATTTTCCTGTTCACATATCCTGTATAGAAGTGTGTCCACTGGCCCCATAATATGGAGGTGTTTCCTTAGTTGACAGTGGCCAGTCGGAAATCCTACTGTTAAGCGTAGATTTTTCTTGGTCATCGCCAGATATTTCATCGGCGCCAGCTTCCCAGGGTCGCCAAGGGTGATCCTGGCAAGATTGCATTCTTGATTTCACCCTATCTCTTCAGAGATTCAGCATGGGTGTGACGTTTGGCTAGTTCCGCAATTGTTGAAGTCATCAGGCCGTAGGCATCACTGGGTCCCTTTGTATGGGTAACAGATCTTTTTCTGTCATAACTTCAGATCAGCTTGTAACCGATAATATCGAACTTTGACAAAATTTATTCGAAAAAAAATAAAATCATAAGTATCGATTTCAATTTTGAAATAGGTAAAAGTACCTACCCATCTTAAGACATTCCAAAACAAAAACGCGTCCTTAACTTTCAAAATGA